CCCCCCCCCCCCCCCCTCCTTTCCTCCCGAAATTAAAAGAAAACTGCGTGGCCCTCATGACCGATTTTTTGGTAGTGCAAAACAAATAATTAGTGGGCAGTAATGAGACCAAACCAGAAGGAGCTCCTTTTGCTTATCTAAAAATGTTAAAAAAAGCAATTCACTTACCTGAGCATCACATGGGCATTTGCCATCCAGATAACCTTTCTTATATATCTCCTCAACGGTATTTTTTGTGAAGTCAATCATCTGACGACCGAAAGCGGTGACTGACTGGGAGATCTCCAAACAAGGCAATTTCCCGACCGAAGCACCAGTAAAACCGTAAACTGAGTTTGCCGATATTTTCAGTGCCAGCTGCCTTCCGTTCAAAACCATACAACTAAATTGGATGCAACAGTTATTGAAACAAAAAATGATTGACTGGTTAACCATATTTGTAGCCTTCCTGTGCTAGGCATGATTTATATTTTCCAATTTTTTCCATATGCACTTTTTATGCGTTTTATGCTGTGTAACAGCGTCACAAAACGCATATTGTCACGGGGTTGTCTGTGTGTGTGTGTGTGTGTCCCACATTTTGTCCCGCACTTTCAACTCGGGAACCACAAAAGTTAGGCGGCTGGAATTTTGATATAATGGTCCCCGCCAACGGGTGACGCGGTAAATTTAAATTCGGCCTTCCCGTACCCGCGGGTAACACGTACGGCCCGTGAAATTTTTTTACGGGTAAATTATTTCCTTAGGAACCACGGGGTCTATGAAGCCGAAATTTTAGGGTAGCGACCCCCTACCCACGCTGAACCTCGCCCATTCAAATTCAGCGTTCCCGAGATCTCGGGTATCACGTACGGCCTTGTGAAAATTTTAGCGGGTAAACTACTAACTCGGAAATCACGGGAAGGTATTCACCCTTCGAATTCAGCTTTCATGCGCTAGTGCGTGAAATTTTTAACTATTTTCCAATGTTTGAACTATTTTTGCATAGCTTAAAGTACAAAGCAGTGAAAATCATTAATAGGCAATCCGATGGGCTGAATTGCACAAAACGCATGATCGCACCAGCTAGTCTGGTGCGCATTGCTATTTATTTATCACCCAAACGCAATTCTTCTGTTCGGTTTAGGCTCTTCCTAATGAAATAAAATGTAACGAAAATTCATTTTTTAATAGAAATGGAGAGTTGGCAGATATAAAAAAAAAAAAGAACAACAGTTTCGTCAAATTTATTATAATTTGCTTACTCACAAGAAGTCTTTATTAAATAACCACGAAATATTTTAAAATACCCAGATAGAGAACGCATGAAACGTGAAATTTTCAAAGTAAGTTAATAAAAATTTTCGCCTTTCCAGTTGGCAAAAATAGCATCAAATTCCCGCTCAAAAAACCTCAGAAATTTTCATA